CTTTAAAAGATTTACTCGGTTATTTAGACTGAACACATTTTCAATGAGCTTTCAAGGCAGATACCGATAAGATGCTTTTTCTGGCACCGTGAGGAGGCCGTCCCCACGGCAGAGCTGTCCCGTCGTCCTTCCAGTGTGACCTTTAAAGGCAGTGCTTTGCTCTTCGTCTCTGAGGAGCATGTGTTGGAAGAACTCACCTGTGTTAAGTGCCCAGGAGCGAGGCCACTCGGTGCTGGAACTCTGTAGGGACTTTAGGTCTGTTAGGAGAGGTGGTCCCAGGGGACGGCCCGCTGGGCTGCGGGGGCTCCCGCGCTGATCTTCTCTCTGGGTGGCTGCACAGCAAGTTGGCTGCTCACTTGTTTCTGAAGGTCCTGACCAAGGTCGCTCTAGTTTCCTTTGGTTTCCCATTGTATTTTCCCTTTTAATTGTAAGTTCCCTGAGTCCAGTGAGTCTAGTTTTTAAGTTAACCAGCCACGGTCCCTAAACCACAGCCAGGCTGGGGTACCTAGTTAGCAAACACTGCCTGGGAGCGGCGAAGCCCCTGTAGGCGTCCTCACGCAGTGAGAGTTCTGCCCTCCTGGGCACACTTGGCAATGCCTGGGACATTTTGGGTTGTCACTTGGGGTAGTTACTGGCATCTGATGGTTGAATTCTAGAGATGTGGGTAAACGTTCTACAGTGCTCAGGACAGCCACATAACAAGGAGTACCAGGCCCCAAAGGTCAGTGTCAAGGCTGAGAAATTTCAACCTGTCGGAATTTAGTTACCGCCTAGATCAGATTGTCTTTTCAGCAGACATGTCCAGTTCAGTTCACCTGGGAAGTGGCCCTGCTGTCTTCTCTCAAGATAGACACACTAGGTGGAGGTGAGTGAGGACAAGCTTGACTGAAAGGTACTGCTCCTTTGGAAGGGAACCACGTTCTAAAAAGGGGAGCTCGAATCAGCCGAGCTGCTCCTGGACCCCGCCCCCCAAGCACTCCCACGTTACAAGGCCATACATACAGAGTATGTGGCCGGGTGCTGGGCACATGGGATGCCCAGCCAGTGTCTCTCTGCATTCTTGCAGGGACGCATTTTGTGGTGAGGGGGTAGCTTTCACCACTGTTTGCAGAACTGGGTTTAAGCAAGGCCCTGTAGAAGAAATCTTGGCGTCTGAGAAATGGACAGAAACCCAGGGACAGCTGTCTCTGTGATGGTCCTTCTCTTTCCTCCAGAATTTTGTTACAAATGCAAGGTTCTCTGTTTAGATTGCCTGTGATTCTGAACAGTGATTCATTTGACAGTTATTTATTGTCTGTCTGTGCTGGGCTCTGAAGTCCGTCATTGTCCCTGTCTTTATGAGACTCTCAGTCCTTCAACATGCAGTTAGGTTCAGTTACTCAATTCAGAGTCCTCCACACTGCCAGGGAGACCTACGGGAGGTATGAGAGGGTACTAAACTTGGGGACCTGACGTGGGCTGCACGTTCAGGGGAAACACACGTGAGAAGATGTGGAGGCTGAACTGACCGGGTAGAGAGGGCGCAGGTCAGGTGGTGCGAAAGGCAGTAGACGGGACCTCTGCGAGGGAAGACAGGCCTGGGAGAGGAGCCTTCCAGAAAAGGAAGGAAGAGCCGCGTGCCGGGGCAGGGCGAGGGCCGTGGCTGGGTGGTGGGGACGCCCTGAAGGGAGACTGCGGCCGCAGAACGGACAGAAACCTTGTTGGACCTTATAGAAAAATTTATTTTTGAGACGGTGTCACTGTAGCCCGGTCTGGCTTTGAACTCACGGCACTCCTTCCTCCTCAGCCTCTCCAGGGATGACAGGCATGTGCTACTGTGCCTGGCTTAAATTTTGCACTTTGAAGAGTTTTGCTACGTCACTTACATTTCCAGACAGTTTTTAATTACTGGAAGACCAAGCAGCTGCCTGTATTTAGATGTGTATATGTATTATTTGAAAAAAACTTTACTGAGGTATAATTCATGCACCATAGAGTTGATCTGTTTAAAGTGTATAATTCAGTAGTTCTTAATATATTCACAGAGTTGTGCAACTTCATTATCATTGTCTAATTTTGGAACATTTTATCATCCCCCAAAGAAGACTCATTTCCCCCTTTCATCCCCTCAACCTCTCCCTACCGAGCAGGATCTACTTTTTGTCTTTGAATTGGCATATTGTGGACGTTTCATATTGGTGAAATTATACAGTGTGTGACCTCTTGTGACTGGCTTGTTTCACTTAGCTTAGTGTTGTCACAGTCGGTCTCTGTTGGAGCATAAATCAGCACTTCATTCCTTTTTATGACTGAGTACTGTTCTGTTTATGGATCTGCCACGTGTTGTTACCCACAGTCGATGGACGTTTGAGTTTTTTCCCCTTTAGTAATTATGAATAGTACTCCCCTGGACTTGACTTACATCATACAAATGGTCAGGAACGACAGATGTCAACCTTTATTTTAGAGAGAAGAGTTTTGCTTATTTTTATTCTTTACCATTCTGTTCAATAGTGGCTTCTTTTCTGAAAGCCTTGTGAAAGGTCCAACCTTGTGAATGAATTGAGGATATGCTGTTAAACACTGGAATATTCTTCTTGACATTTGTAGGCAATATTTGCAGGTAATGGTGCCATTAGTTCTAGAAGTCAGAGTCCATTGTTATTCTAATTGTCCATTTACAAGTGGATGTCAAGGATTTTTTAGATCCTTGGTTTCTGTTGAATGACCTGTCTACATTAGTGGAATGTGCCTGACTGACTGTTATCAAGGGGAAGGCTTTCATCTTGATTAACCATTTCGGGGAGTAAAAAAGCAATGAAAGAGTAGCCCAGTGTCACAGAGTTCAGAATGTGCACCAAGAGGTCACAAGTGTAATAAAAAATGGCTTTTGACCTGCACTGGGGCATAACTACCAGCACAGAAAGTATTAAGAATTAGTAAGTGATTAAGCAAGAACATTTTCAAACCAAGGAAAAAAGTGTAGACAGTGAATATAAGAAACTTTATAGTTTGTCTTATAGAGTGGGAAAACGAGAAGAGTTTTACTCTGAGTAAGTAATTTAAAGATAACAATATGCAGTGTTATTAACCATTGTTATCTTCCTGTCATATTGTTTTGGTATTTTGTTTTTTGTTTTATTTTTCTCTTTAAAATAAAAAAAGTAATCTTATATAAAGTCGTAGCAGTTTTGGTAATGCTGGTTGTCTTACCTACTTTTTCGTTGCTAGGAAAAAATACCTGACACCCACAGGATAAAGGAGGAAAGGTTGTTGTAGCTCACAGTTTGTAGAGGTTTCAGTCCGCACTTGGCTGGTTCCAAGGCGGGGTGGCGTGGCAGAGGGCTGTGACGGAGGAGAAAGAGGTCATGGTATAGCAGGTAGGAGGCAGCAGCCTTCTTTCTTTCCCTTTTATTTTAGCCAAGTTACAAGCCTGTTGGTTAATGCCACCCACACCCAGGACAGGTCTTTCCTCTTTAGTAAATCCATCACACCCAGAACCATGCCAAACCAGTCTAGAAGACTAATCCAGTATCACCCAGCCCTGGCCCAGTGTCACACACCCATGATCTAATCACGCCCCAGAGCCCTGCTTCCGAGTGTGTGGGGTACATCTAGATACAAGTCGTACAGTAAATAGCAAATTAGCATAAGGCAGTCACAATTAGAAAGGTTGGTTTCTCCAGTTTGTAAAATCGTGAATCTTTGAAACTTAATCTGCTTGTTTTTTTGGTTTACAGCTGATTCTGTTGATTGATGTTAGTGTCAGGACTGTTACTTAAGATTTCATTCAGTATTTCGCAAGCTTTGGATGATTGTAAGATTGGTTCACTAATTATGCAAGGAGGTACGGGACATCTGCTGCTTGTAAATGGTCGTGTTTGTCAGCAGGAAGGAAGCTGCTCTTGGGCCAGTGCACTCCTTATTTGGGAAATCGTTCCGTAGCATGGAGTGCATCGTTAGTAAGTGGCCTGCAGTTTCATCGGTGTACTTGATTGGCTCACTGTTACTTACCAGCCCTAGTTAGAGGAGTCTCAGTGCTGTTATCGTAGGGTCCTCAGTGTGTGCTTTGTACCGTATCGAGGACTCGCTTGCTTTATCCTGTGTAACCCGCACAGTGCCCTACCGTGCGTGACAGGTAGAGTTACCAGTGACTGCACAGAGGTTCAGATGAGGTGAGTTGTCCAGCCTCACACAGTGGCAGAGCCGAGGCTTGACTGCGGAGCTGACGCTGACGTGGATGTGCAGTTTGCCCTCTTCTCTGCGCACCAGCTCCTTGTGAAATGGAGAATATTGTTATGCAGCGTTATGTGTTGAAGTTTGTAAATGCTGTTAGAAAAGCGTCCTGGCTGTTTCTAGCCGTCTGGTCGCTTGCGTGTGATTGCTTAGTCTTCTCATTGGCTGCAGGAGGGCCTTAAGTGGGCTCTTCATCTTTTTAGAGCACGTTTTACCCCTAGGAGTTCATATCCCTGCTTCGAGTGGCACGCTTCAAGATTTCCAAATGTTGTTTCCTCTGTATGTCCTACAGAAAGACAGGCAACTTAATCTAGTCACTGCAGTGTCAAATTCTGTTGCCTGCTGTCATTGATTTTGAGGTAAGTCATTGCTCTATGTGACTGCTTAAACAAATGTAAGACATGGCTGATAATGCAAGCTGTTTGCCTTCTGATGTCGGATCTCGGGGAGGGAAAGGCCAGCAGAGCTCTTCTGGGTCTTGGTGGCTTTGAGACCGGGTCCCTGCGCCAGGGTCAGGCTGCCTGGCTGAGGGTCCTGCGCGGCCGCCTCTTCCCCTGCACTTGTCCTCTCCGCCCACCCCGAGGTTTGTCACGAGAAGTCAGTGGGAGGTCCCGTCTGAGGAAGTGCTTCATCTGTTACAGGTCATGTGGATGTGAAGTGGTGATTGTTCTCAAAGTGCTGTGAAATTATGGTACTTGAAAATCTTAAATTTGATTTTAGGCTTCCTTTTTTTATTGATTTCTTAGATAAAGCTAATTTTTGTCTTCTTTTCCTTGTTTTTTTAGTGGTATGTGTGCAACAGAGAGAAATTATGTGAATCACTCCAGGCAGTCTTCGTTCAGAGTTACCTTGATCAAGGGACACAGATCTTCTTAAACAACAGCATTGAAAAGTCAGGATGGCTGTTTATCCAGTTATATCATTCTTTTGTGTCATCTGTCTTTAGCCTGTTTATGTCTAGAACATCTATCAATGGGTAAGTGAATTTTGGACTTTAAAAAAATTTATTGGGGGAGAAATTTATTGGATGGAGATGTAGCCCAGTGGCACAGTGCCTGCCTGGCAAGTGTGAAGTAGTGAGTTTGATTCCTGGTACCAAAAAAAAAAGAAAAAAAAGAATTTCTGCCGGGTGTGTTGGCGCACGCCTGTAATCCCAGCATTCGGAAGGCTGAGGCAGGAGGATCTTTGCAAGTTTGAGACCAACCTGGGCTACAAAGTGAGCTCAAGGCCAGCCTGAACTGCATAGCGAGACCCTGTCTCAAAAAGACAAAAAAAAAAACCCAAAATTTATCCTTAAGTTTAATAAATTTAAGTCTTGTTCAAAATACTGACCACTAGAGCTGGGTGTGGTGATGCACGCCTGAGGTCCCAGTGCCTGGGAGGCCGAGGCGGGAGGATCACCATGGGTTCGGGACCAGTCTGGACTATGTAGGGAGTTTCTGTCTCAAAAACACACACACAAACAACAACAACAAAGGGAGGTGTGGATCACCTTGGTCGTGATACTTCTGTCTGTCAGCGTCGTGGCGTCTGTCGGACCGTGTACCTTTTCACATGTCCTGTAACTTGGGAAACAGCCCTGTCAGTCTGTGTGTCTGCGGCAGGAGTTGCTTACTTGAGTGCGTCGCAGCGCTGGGGCACACAGGGCTGCGAGGGGTTATGCGTCAGTGGGCCTGGGGCCGCCTCCTGGGAGGCTGCGCTTGGCCCAGGTGCAGGTGATGCAGTGATGCTGCTACAGGTGCTGGTTGTGGCGCTCAGGCAGCACGACCCTAGAAACAGCCCTCACTGAGGTCCTTCGCCCTCAGGCTGCGGAGCAGGATGTTCCCTTAAACACACTTCCAGGAGCGAGGAGCTCGTTACTCCGTCCTCGGGAGTGGTGGCTTGTTTGAAGCATCTTGTGTTTGTTGTATTACATAATATCGGGGTTTCCCAGGATTTTGTAAATTCATTGTGGAATTCTCTGTCCTCAGAGTGCATCTCTCATATAAATCCACAGAAAAGGGTTTGGGGGTATTATTTATCCTTTCTTTGCTAAATTTTCTAACAGTCCCCAAGGCCCTAGCATGCAGAAGGCCAGAGAGAAAAGTAGTAGGACATACTGCCTAAAGAGCCTTGCTGGGCCGCTAAAGCCGTTGGTCGGGGCCGCGTCTCTTCCGTGAGGTTAGAGCCGGTTTCTGCTGAGTGCCGCTTTCCCAGTCTGTCACGCGGTCCTTAATGTTTGCAAGCGTAGCAAGCCGTTTCTCAAGACTTCTTACTTGATTTTCTTCATTGTTTATATGCTATTGCTTTACCCTTGCTTCAGCAAACAGTTGTTACTTTTGTATTGGGAGCTGAATTTATATATAACTTCGTCTGACATGTTGTTCCTAAAATTGGTTGTACTGAATTTCTGTCCTATACCACTTATTCTTTATTTGGAAATCAGAAGAGTCACTGTAGCGGAGATTCTTACCCTTTTGGGGGCCCTGTACCTCTTTGAAAGTGGTAAAAGGTAGCAATCCTTTCTTCAAAAAGTACTTATATTTGGCATCTTGTATGTAATTTTGGTGGAGCCAGGTTAAAATTGCCTGCTCTAGAATTTCACAATTTTATCAGAGAGGCAATGCAATTAATAAATCCCTTCGGTTTCCTGCATCTGTATCTATTCTCTTGTGTTTTTGTTTGTTTGTTTGATTTGTTTGAAGGTGGAATCTCCCAGTGTTGCCCTGCCTGACCTTGAGCGCCTGAGCCCAAGTGATCCTCCTTCCTTAGTCTCACTAGAGGCATATGCCAGCTGCCTGGCGCGTCGTGCTTCCACAAACAAAAACAAAAGGCCCGTTCCTCCCACTTTCTCAGATCTCTCTTGCCCTGTGATCCATATTCTCAACTGAAGCCCTACGCTCGGAGCCGGGGGCACTTTGCACCCGTGCAGTGGGAGTTGTCACCATCGGTGGCCATCTCTTACAGAAAGAGTTGTATGATCACAACGGCACCTCCTTGAATTAAGATACTTACCAGACGTCCTTTATGGTGGAGAGCAGAAGGCCAAGGAAGAGGCACAGCTCTACAGGTGAAAGCTGGAGAGAATTTGAATTGTAGCTGGAGAAACGAGGGTGGTTATAAAAGACTGAAGTGAAATACAGTTTAGAGAGCCATGTCTTGCCGTGTGTTTGTCGTCACCCTGTGTTGTGCTAGGTCAGTCTCTCGATGTTTTAGACGGGACAGGTCTTCCCTGCGGGCGACCTCCTCACAGGTTGCAGTGTGCACACTTTTCTGGCATGCCAAGTTGCTGTGACTGGCAGAAACTCTCGCAGTACCTCTAGAGGACAAAGTTGGTGCTGGCTGAATGACAGTGGGCTCTGGATGTTTTGGTTCTTTTCTTAGTGTAAATATTTATGTAGAATCCCTGTTGCGTATGTTCTTCACGAGGAGGACAGTGCTTCCCTCTGTGTCAGGTGCCCTTAAATGTGGACCAGCCACAGGGCCCTGGGAGCTCTGGCCTCAGGTGACCTCTAGCGTTAGGGTTTCATAGGTGTCCCGTCAGGGTTCCTCACATCCCGAGCAGATGGCTTGCGAAGCGTGTTATTTTATAGCAGGGAGACTTGGGACAAAGCGGAATTGTGTGACGTGGGTGCTGTGGCCCAGCAGCACGGAGATTTAGAGCATGCCTCCCGAGGCCGTGCTGCCTGCAGCCTCTTCCCGCTCTCCGTCTGGGTCTTGTGTGAGTATCTGCAGCTCTTTCAGCAAGTTCAGTCCCTTCTCTCACTGTGCTTATTTTTCCTCTGGAAGGTCCAAACACTTGCGGATTGTTTTCTGTGAGATGCGGTTTTCTTGGGTAAGCAGTTGTAGTTCGTAGCACCATGGTTAGTCAGCTGTCTTTGGATGTGTCTGTCCCCGTTGGCATTTCTCTGGGGCGGGAGATTCATTATAAACTCAGTTAGACTTGCCTGTGTTGTCAGTGGGAAGACGGGGTACTCATTATGGGGACGGCTGCACTTTTCGTGAAATTGGCCTTAAGTACCATCTGCATGTATCTGCCCAGTCACTATATAGCAAACATTTTGCATTCTAGTTATTTCCAGCAAGTGGCAGTACAGTATGCCCCCGCACACACACACATGGGTAGTGGTTTCAGTCTGTTTTCCAGGCTCTGAGGAGGAAGTGCATCAGTCGGTCGGTGGCAGCTCTAGGGCTCGTGTCCTCGTTCCAGCAGCAGCTCCTTCACCGTTTGTGTTGTGCATGAGTCCACTGCATTTAGAGAAAAGACTGCTGGGAGGGGCTGGGAGAGTCCCTGCCTCAGCCCAGCTGGGGCTTGAGACCTGCAGAGCGCGCTCGGAATCTCCCAGCGCGGTGCTTCCCTGAGGCCCGGTTGAGCTACAGCTGCTTTCTGGGGGTTCTCTTTGATTTCCTTTTTACCTTCTCTCAGTCTTGTTTTTTCAGAGGCTGTGCCACAGTTTTCAGTGTTTTTTAAGGAGCCTTCAGAAGTTGTAGGATCTAGCAAACTGTAAAACATAAACTGACACATGTATGAATATGCTTCTTTAATGCAAATTAACTGATGTCGCAAGGTTCACGCTTTGCCTCTTTTTTCTAGGATCTTTTCAAAATGTTTTGAACAAAAGCATTTTCCCCCCTCATCCACTGTTTAGCTCCATCTTCTAAAAGGACTTTTTTCCTGTTTGATTTCTCTGCCCGGGGTTACGGCTTAGTCTTGTGATCTGATTCTGTTAACCTGTCATCTTTTAAGCTGATAAACGTATTTGCTTTCCACCGGTCTACCTTTTCTTCTATTTTCATCGTTAGTGTATGTTTCCCACACACAGTGACTGTTCGTTGTGGAGGCATTGGTGCTTACCACCCTGCATCCCGACCCTTCTTGTGCACCGTTACCCCTCGCTCCTGCCCCCCCGTGCAGACCCCCTCCCCAGCCTGTCAGAGAACCAGCTCTTGGAGTCGTGTTCGTCTTTTAATGACTAACCCATTCCATCTTCCTTGTGTTTTCCTTCTCATCCTTCTCCCACGCCCTTTGAAATTTTATCTACCACACCAAAGATGATGTCGGCAGGCATTTTATTAACTGTACTTTGCAGTCGTATAAATCATGCGAAAGATGTATTTTAATTGTGTCATAAAAATTTCATAAGTTCACGGGTTGTTGGTTCTGAGTCGCTGTACTCTGTGCTTCCATTTTTGTCTTTTTCCCTTTCAGGTTGCTGGGAAGGGGCTCAATGTTTGTGTTTTCACCGGATCAGTTTCAGAGACTGCTTAAAATTAACCCTGACTGGAAAACCCATAGACTGCTTGATTTAGGTGCCGGAGACGGAGAAGTCACAAAAATCATGAGTCCTCATTTTGAAGAAATCTATGCCACTGAGCTTTCTGAAACTATGATATGGCAGCTTCAGAAGAAGAAATACAGGTATAGTTTTTAGATACGCTTTGGAATATATTTCTTGGTTTTAGATCTGTTTCTTCCTGAAGGTATATTACTTAAAAGATAGGAATCAGAAACAATTTTCCATGATTAGGATTTTTAAAAAAACAGGCTGAACATCACACACCTGTGATCCCAGCACTTAGGAGGCTGAGGCAGGAGGATTGCAAGTTCAAGGCCAGCTTGGACTACAGAGTGAGACCTTGTCTCAGAAACCACAACCAACCAAACAAAAATGGAAAACGTCCCGCTAAACCAAAACAAGCAGGAATTAAAATCTTTTCATACACATTTAATCGGGAATTTAGGGAACAGTCATCTTCCGTGGCGGTGGTTTTGGCAGCAGAGTAGATAGCACCGCAGGAAGGAACACGGTTGTGCACGGTGAGAGGGGACTTGCACAGGTGTGAGCGGGACTGAGTGACTCCCGGGGCCCTCCCTTCGCCTGTCAGGCTGACGCGGCGTCGGTCCTCCTGGGTCTGTGTGGTGATGACCGAAACGTGTTCCTTCAGTTAGAGATTAATTCAGTTTCAAACCTGGAATGCTTTGACCTTCGCTTTAACAATGCTTAAGCCATGCTGAACTCCAAATCAGACTCCTTTATATTTCCACTTAAAAAATATTAGTGATTTGAAGTTGATCTGGGAGGAAGGTGTTAATTTAATTTCTTATTTTAATGAAAGGTCTTAGAGGCTGAAGTATGCAGATTGTCCTTCCTGCTGAGCCTCCTAGTTGGCAGGGCTTATTCATTGTCATTGTCAGGCTTTCCTCCTTACCCTACACAGGGAGAGCATCGTTTACCTGGAGTAACATGCCAGGAAAATTTCCAGGTTAGAAGTTCTCCTCTGCCAGTGAGGTGCAGTGTGAATTGGACACACCACTTCTTTGATTTTCTCAGGAAAGTTCTAACAATTTGTTAGGGTTTTTGGGCTGATACCCAGTTTGAGTGGGGGTCATTAGTATATTTTCATGAATGGAAATGAGTTTTCAAATAGAAAGTAAAATAAGGGTGACTTTGAGGTGCTCTAGGTATAAGTGTAACTATCCCAGCGTTAAAACTGTCATTTTCTATCATGAGCATGTATATCTGTTTCAGAATTCCTAATATGGCTGAGCGTGGTCGCACGCGCCTGTAATCCCAGTACTCGGGAGGCTGAGGCAGGAGGATCACTGTGAGTTTGAGGCCAGCCTGGGCTACATAAGTGAGTTCAAAGCCACCCTGTACTACCTAGTGAGACCCTGTCTCAAAAAAAACAAAACAAAACAAAACAAAAAAAGATTTCCTAAAATGGACACTACCTGCCAAGTTTCACCAAGTTCATTAGACTTGTGTGGTAGAGGCTTTAGTTTTATTTATTTATGTATGTATTTATTTATTTATTTTTATTTTTGGTCTTTTTGAGACAGGGTCTCACTCTGCAGTTCAGGCTGGTCTTGAACTCACTTTGTAGCCCAGGCTGGCCTCTGAACTCAAAACGATCCTCCTGCCTCAGCCTCCCAAGTGCTGGGATTATAGGCCTGTGCCACCATGCCTGGCGTGAGGCTTTAGTTTTATAAAATACAGGTTGAAAAGAGGATGCAGCTGAGTGGCTTGTGTTCCTTTTGTGCTGTGCAGAAGTGTTAGATGCTCAGGAGTTTTTCACAGCCGCCTTCAGGTTTTCAGGATTTTTAAAAATGTCTCTGTTGTGTTGGCTGTGCATTATTGAAGACACGTTTGCCAAAGACCCCTTTTCACGTGTCTGTGCTCACCCGTCCGTGTCACAGTGTGCCTCACCGACCACGTTCTGCCCAGCGTAACCGAGCAGTAAGTGATTTACAGAGTTGTCCTACTGGTATAGCTGCGGCTCCTGATGGAAATAGTGGTCTCCTTTCCAGACAAAAACAATATAATGGGCTAAAAGTTGTGTAGTTTTTTTTTAAAACCATGTTCTTCATAGTTTCGCAAGGTTGACCTGTGCTGTGTGTTTTTCTGCATTTGTTGATAATGAAGATCCAGAATATGAAATAGTTTTTGTCTCCTGGGAACAGATATGCTTAAAAAATTTTAGGTTATAAATGGAAATTATGGGCCTGGGGGTTTAGCTCAGCGGCACAGCACCTGCCTGGCAAGCGCGAGGTTGTGAGTTCGATTCCCGGAAAAAAAAACAAAAAAAAAAAAACAAAAGGAAATTATACCAGCTCATTCTGAAGCATAGAAAGGTCCCTATGAATAGAAAACAATTTGTAGATGGATGAAATGAAAAATATTAAAGAAATACTTTGCTATTTTTCTCTTGTCTGGCTTTTGTATTACACATATAAATTATGTGTAATACACATATAAATTATTAATAAATACTTTGTGTCTACTTTGATTTAGAAGACAAAGTTAGAGCCTTTATTGACATCTCAGTTATTTTTAAAGATGTCATTAAGGGAAGAAATACTAATAAAATTCTCACTGATACTTTCCAGAGTGCTCGGTATCAATGAATGGCAGAATACGGGGTTCCAGTATGACGTCATCAGCTGCTTGAATTTGCTGGACCGCTGTGATCAGCCCCTGACTTTGTTAAAAGACATCAGAAGTGTGTTGGAGCCAACTAGAGGCAGGGTCATCCTTGCCCTGGTCCTGCCCTTCCACCCCTATGTGGAAAACGGTGAGTGTGGTCAGCCGACTCTTAGCCAGGGCGGCTGTTTATTGGTATTTGTGATTTCATGTTGTGCATAATTAAACATTGTCTAATACTTTTCTTTTCTCTCTTTTTTAAAAATTTATTGAATTTTTTTGGTTTTTGACACAGGGTCTCTCTGTGTAATTCAGGCTGGCCTTGAACACACTGTGTAGCCCAGGCTGATCTCAAACTCATGGCTCACCTTGAACTCATGATGATCCTCCTGCCTCAGCCTCCCAAGTGCTGAGCTTTCAGGCATGTGCCACCACACCTGGCCTGTCTAGTATTCTTAGAAAACCTGGAATTTGAAATAATGTAGTTAACCCATGTAATATATCACCTTGGTCAATGTTCCTCTTAATGTAGATTTTGTAGAATTGTAGTGCTTCCCTTGTAGTGCTGATAATTAATGCAGCTGAGTCTGTCTGCTTGTGGTTGAAAACCTGCAGTTCACCTGTCGTCTCTGGCTTTAAATGGAGCTTGCACCGTTTATTTACTGGCGTTTGAACAGAGTCCAGCATTAAGTGATGGCCTTTAATTGACCCACACGGACATGCTGAACGTCGTGGCTGTTTTATATTTTACGTTTTTCACTTCCTGTCCCAGACTGTAAAAGTCATAAGCCCAGCTGCCTGGTTTCCCTTTTGGAGACACTCGTACTCCAGCACGTCGTTTCTTGGTGTAGCGTTGGGTTTCTGTCTCCCGCTGTTGCTGCCCAGCACTATTAAACAGAGAGTGTACTAGAAGAGGTGGGCCGGGTTCGTGTCTGCAGGTGTTCTGTGGTTTCTGGCGCTTCGTGGAACAGTGTCACGTTAACTCCGCGTGTTAGCTGATGTGGTCTGCATTTCAGGTCATTTTCACAGTTATGCTTTGAAGACTGAGGAGTCTCTCTTCCTCAGTTTTGTAAGTTAATGTATGTTACTGTAAAGTGAATGTCATACATGTTAATACTTTAAAATCTTCAGCTTTTTATTTTATTGCCTAGGTTGGCCATGGCTGTAAGAGCGAACAGCTTGCAGGCATTTTAAAGGACTCCTTTGCTGTTTTGCAGCTGTCTCGTGGTTACTTAATACGGGGCCGGTCTGTGTGTTGAGGGCCAGCGCCCGCCTTTCTGAAGGTGGAGTCCTGTGCGTCCCGTTGCCGTTGCGTGCTCTTCCTCTCCTCGTGCTTTCCCCGGGGTCGTCGGCCGTTAGAGTTAACGCTCGTCCTGGCGTTTACCAGAGGGTTCAGATCCGTGCTGGTGGGGGGAGATGGAGCCTTTTCAATGCGGGGAGGAGGGGAAGAGAGTGGATAGAACAGATCCCCTTTCTGCCAACCTGGTCCTCAACTTCTGCATTCCTCTTTTAATGGGTTGTCATGCTAAAGCAAAGTCCGCTTTAACTGTGAGAGCCCACGCGTTGTGGACAGTTCTGTACTGCAAACAGGTCTGGGCAGCGCCTTCCGCGTAGTCAGGGACCCGGCCTCCCGGCGCAGGGCCGGTGTGACGCAGCCCGGCTGCACCTCTCCGTGTTGCTCTCCGGAGCCACGCGTTGGGGTCTGGTTTCCTGCGTCGTGTGGGGCGGCCGCGTGCTGGACTTCACGCTCCTTCCTGGAAGAGCAGGAGGTGGGAGAGCGGGAGGAGCCATCCGCCGCCCCACAAGCCGTATTTCTTTGTGTCTCAGACACTGAAAGCTTAGAGGAAGTCACACCAGACGGGCGGCAGTCTGTACTGAAATCGAACAGAGCTCCTTCCCTGCTGTGCAGCACTGCCCGTGGGGCTCGGGCTCCGGCATGGGACCTGTTGCAAACTGGAGAGGAGAAGCCTTGCTGCTGTGGGTGACCTCTCTGACCCAAGAACTTAGCAGCCTGCTCCGGCACGCTGTTCTTGCTCCCTTTCTCTAAGGCGCTGATTAGGGCCTGGTGATTTCCACGTGAGACCACGAGGCCGGGCTGGGCCAGGAGGGCAGGCCGCTGTGAGTGTGCGAGTGCAGTGCTGGCTTCCGGACGGGTGTCTGAGTGTGCTCTGCCTGCTTGGCGCAAAGATTTTTTTGTTGTTTTTTTGTTTTTTTTCTGGTACTGGGAATCGAACTCAGAACCTTGTGCTTGCTAGGCAGGTGCTGTGCCGCTGAGCTAAATCCCCAGCCCCAACTCAGAGATCTTTTAAACAAAGAGCAGGTGTTGGTGAAACGATTGCTTGTGTAATGTTTTAGGTACGTGCTTCGAGGTTGAGCCGTGGCAGTTTTGTTGTTTTGTAGTAACTTAGGGAAGAAACGCAGACGTTTTTCTGATTCAGTGTATTTGGTTTACGGATCCGCTATTGGTTTGGGCTTGTGAAATCTAGTGAGTATTGTTTTAAGTACTAGGACAGAAAATTATGTAATCAAAAGAATTATATTGTAAAAATGAAAATTCAAAATGTTTTAATAAGATAATTTTTATACAGAATAATTTGTGGTAAAAATACCTGAAGCAGCTTGCCGGAGGGTACAGTTTCTCACCTGCCCCAGCTGCGTATCTTTTCAGGTTATCGTAAAGGATCTTCAGTGTTTCGTCTGTACAAATAGTATATATGTAAAATTACTTATGCAGGCAGATGCCTTGTACGCCACATATATGAGATACATATGAGATATATATAGTATACTCTGTGTGTGTGTTTGAGACAGGGACTTGCTGTGTAGTGCAGGCTGGCCTGCCTTGAACTCACTGTGTAGCCTAGGCTGGCCTCTACCTCACAGCAATCTTTCCTCAGCCTCCTGAGGGCTGGCCTCACAGGCCTGAGCTACCGCGCCTGGCCTGGGACCCGTTATAATAAGTAACTGAGTTGCTGTTTTTCACTTAAATATGCCTAGGAGTTCTCCTTGCCAGCACATACATTTCTGCATCGTTGTCCGGATACAGTGTGTGTGCTGGCGTGTTGTTCAGGCTCAGCCTGGCTCGTGGCCCGTGCTTGTTTCACCAGGAGGAGTACAGCGGACGAGTTGTTAAGTGTGGCTGTTGTTGCGGTCGGCCACGGGGGTGGTGTTTGTACCACAGGATTTGGCGGCGTAGCAGATACCTGTTTTCCAAGCTGGTGCTGAGCATCTGACAGTTTGCCCCCAGAGCATGGGGGAAGGGTGTTCTTTAGATGCCGGTAGTTTGCTTTATAAATTAAAAAAACCTCATTTCTGACTTTAATGAAAATGTTACTGCTTTAAATACGATGGTTTGGACCGGGGGCACCGCCCGGCGGCGCAGCGCCTGCCTGGCAAGCACAAGGCCCTGAGTTTGATTTCCGGTGCTGTCATGGTTTGTGTCTGGGTTTCCCCTACAGCCTCGTGCGGTCGTGAGCTGCGCTTCTAGAGTCTGGTTGGTTGTGGGTGCGAGAGCCACGCCCGCCCTGGGGCCGATGGTCTGCGAGTGTGAGGGAGAGGCTGGCTCTTCCCGCGCTCCCCCATGTCGTTCCTGTTGCTTTACTGTGTCCCCCCGCCTCGCATGGCTGCCCTCTGCCTCGCCCCGCTCTGCCTCGGAGCCGGCCAAGTATGGACTGAAACGTGCGCAAACTGCGAGCTAAGTAAACCTTTCCTTCCTGCATTTTGGGCATCCGGTATTTTGTCCCAGCAGCGAGAGAAAGGTAACCAGGACAGGTACCAAAAAAAGGATGTTCTGAGGTCACTGTTGTTTGGTTGACACGCTTTTTTTTCTGAGAGAAAGGGTTTCCCTATGTAGTTCTGGTTGGCCTTGAGCTCACTGTGTAACCCAAGCTGGCCTTGAACTCTCAGTGATCCTCCTGCCTCAGCCTCCCAAGTTCATGCACCTTCGTTCTTGGCTGATTGATACATTTTTTAACAGTGCATTTTATTAAGAGCTTAAAATTAGCAGTCAGATTTAAATGCCAATATCTTGCACTCGTGTTCTCTGAGTAACCAATATAGTACACAATATATTGGCCATTGTTGCCCTCCTATTATCTTGTTTTGAATTTTTTTTTTTCTCTTTGAAATAAAATTTTAAAAAATTAGCAGCCAATATTGAATTTTGTTATCTGAGTTTTCAGCGTCTATGGAAATGGTCATACTTTCTCTGTTTTAAAAAAAAATTAATTAATTAATTTTTTTTTTGGTGCAGGAATTTTTTTTTTACCAGGAATCGAACTTAGGACCTTGCACTTGCCAGGCAGGCGCTTGTGCCGCTGAGCTATATCCCTGGCCTCATACTGTTTTTCCTTCTTTGATTTATTAATAGTTTTCTTCTGATAGTCTTCGTATTTCTGGATTTGGATCTGATTATCTTCTCTTAATGTACTGTTAGAATCTATTTATAAAAGTTCTAAGCAAGAACAGAAGCATTAATATTATTGATAAATGATAGTCTAGGGCTGCAGAGATAGCTCATCCCCCTCCCCAAAAGATAGTCTATACCTGATCTTGTTTTTTTGGAAGGTGTTACCTTTGCGTTGGTATTAGTGTTCTGTTGACCTGAAAAATAATTGGGAATATTAAATTGCATTCTTTATTCTTTGAAAATTTGATAGAAGTCTCTTGTGAAATCACTTCAGCCTCTGCTTGTGCAGATGTGTAGCCCTTTTTTTTTTTCTTTTTGAGACAGGGTCTCGCTATATAGTTTAGGCTGGCCTTGAGCTCACTTTGTAGCCCAGGCTGGCCTCGAACTTGCAACAATCCTCCTGCCTCAGCCTCCTGAGTATTGGGATTGCAGGGTGCACCACCACGCCCAGCTCTTCAGATTGAAATATTAATCAACATCTTTCAGTCTACCAGAACTCTTAACAACAGTAAGCAGAATTTGAAGTCTCTATACTGCATCTTAACTGTTTTTGGCTTATTTTGCTTTTGCAGTGATAGGGATCCAAACCAGGGCCTAGTGTGTTCTCACTGAGCTGGATTTGAAGTCTTTCGTACATTTTATGGGGAACAGCATTTGAAGAAAATGAAGGTGTGAACATGGGAGGGTTGCGGTAGCCCACTCAAGGGTAATGTGCGAAGGAGGCCTTGCGTAATAGTGTAGCACCCAGTAAATATTGTTGGCTACATGGATGAGTCAGAATGAAAAGTGTGTACACACCAGGTTCTTCTGTACGTGATGCAGGGAAACAGCTCCCTTCTTTGGGAAAGTGTATTCTACATGTGTTTCAAAATCAGTCTTTGAAAACAGGCTTTGCTTACACTGGGAAAGGCACGTTCAGAATTCAATATAAACTCCTGGGGACTTTGCCTCCTGGTTAGTTTATCCTGGGGATTTTGTCTCCTGATGAGTTACACAAGGACAGTGTCTTTTTTGTCCTGGAATTAAGGATCAAAATGTAATGAGTGCCAGAAATGAACAATAAATGATCTAATTCGATACTTCCGTTCACCTAGATGGAGTGAGCGCTTACCCCTTGTTTGCCATCTGGTTCGGAAGTTCTTATTTTCACTTGAGGCAGTGCTTTTAAAGTGAGAAGGTATACCCCTAGAGTACACAGAAAAATCACTTTGAAATACAAGGAGAATATATTAGCATTTTTATTTATACTGCTGTTCATGCCGTTTTATGTATATGTTTGTATATACAATACACACAAAACACGTATAACATACGTGTGTACATTACATACAACACATACGTATACATAGCAGTGACGTGAGGCTGTGTGCTCCTTCCCCTTACCTTTCTGTTTTTCTGGGCATGGTTTGTCAGAAAGGTTTGATACGTATGATTTGAGTTGTTAATGTGAAATGCTTCCAGAGGGATCTGAAAACATTTAAAAGTATGTTTGGGTTTTAAAAAGAGTATGTCTCATTTAATGCCAGCTTAAAGGAAACACCTTAATGAAATAGACATATGCATTATAATTCACGTTTAATAATAAATGTATGCGGGTATTTCGATTGTTTACAACTATGTAGCTTTCGCAGAGCAGTCCAAGTTACATTTTCTGAGTGAAATGATGGTGATGCCAGTGAGCCCCTCCTCTGCCGCAGTCCGCTGCCCGGTACTCCCTCCCGCACTGGCGGAGCAGCAGCACCGCCAAGGTCCCGCGCCCGGTCAGAGCCTCGGCGCCCCTGCTGCTGTCCTGGACACGGCGCTGACATCTGGAGTCAGCCATAGTGCGTTTGTTCTGAGATTTTCTCCCGCTGACCTTGTGCTTTGGATTTGCTGTATTTTGGTGCAGTATTTATGTTCTTTTCTTCCTTCCTTGCTTTTTAGTCCCTCTCGTCAGTCCGTGTTTATGGTACAGAACAGGCACGTTCATCGTGGGGACCTGGTGCATGTACAGAGCACGTCTGCGTCCTTCTCCCTTCCCCTTGCTCTGCTCCGTCCCGTGCCCGTCTCTTGTGCTCTCGAGTTTGATGGCAGCGTGGTGTCAGCTGCTTCGCGTATCCGGCAGGGAAGTCCACCGTACTGCTGCATTACTGTAATACCAGAAGAGATCATTTTTGCCGCGTGGTACTTTTCAGATAAACTTGTCCGGCGCAGACGTGGGCACTGCTCACGCTCCCTTTGCCTGTCCTCACCGACGCCCGTGGTCTCGTTGTTTCCCCCTAAGGTGGGCCACTTGACTCCAGTCTTCAGATGAGACCCACCCGAAGCTTCGTGTGTTCAGCAAAGCAGACAGGACGCATAGCAGAAAGGTTTTTGAAATTGTTAGGCTGAGATACTTTTGAAAATGTTAGGCTATTTAGAACTTTCTTGGCAAATTAGGAAAATATTTCCAGTTGCATTGTGTTGGATTTTTGCATTTTTAAAATTTCTGTTAGTTGTAGCTCCTTATTACCCTGGCATCCTTGTTTGCAGCCCGTTTCTTTTCCATTTACCCTCGATTGTTTTGTACAGAGTTGCTTGATGTATGGTCCACTCACGTCCCCCAGCGTAGCTTCAGCAGCTGGATTTTCAGTGACTTACTTGAACACTGAAGTGTATCTATGGTCTTCCGTAGTTGGAAAGTGCTCCTCTGTTCTCATAAGTGTTGTCTTTCTCCTGCAATAGTAAATAACGAGCCGTATTTAGGGTCATGTAGCCAGTGAGGTCACCCCTCGGCAGCATGCAGCCTGCGGTGCTGTCTTGCACTCTGGTGTTCTTCCAGGAATCTTAGAGGTCAGGGCACCCTTTTCCCTTTATCTAGAGTAGGATGTGGGAACAGAAAAAGTAATTTTCTTGTCTAAATGCCATTGTCAAAACCCTGATAGGTAATTTTAGTTATTTCCAGGCCTTCCTTCAGGCCTTTTACTTTTGCCTCTTTGTAGAAAAGATGCCCCAGCTTCAGTAAGAAAACAGTGTGGACAGGCATTTATAATTATTTAGAGTGGCTCCTCATGTAATTAGATCATTGTCTTCATGGTTTGTATGTATACTGAAGGATGAAATGACTGCTTATGTGATACTCTCTTTTGGCCTAAAATTCTTTTTTAAAAGTTAGATTAAACTATACCTCATAATTATTATCCTGTTGGATTTGCCTCTTGGATAGTGTGTAGGAAGAAGATATTTTTAGGAGGAAAATACTTTTACTAGTATATAAATCCATTATATTATGTGCATTTAATATAAATCTGAGAGATCTGATCATGCATCATGGGAACAGTGCATTTGCTCTACTAGTTTTAAATAGTATCCTTTAGGCTGGGCGTGGTGGCGCACGCCTGCAATCCCCGCACTCGGGAGGCTGAGGCAGGAAGATCCTAGTGAGTTCAAGACCAGCCTGGGCTACAAAGTGAGCTCAAGGCCAGCCTGAACTGCATAGTGAGACCCTGTCTCAAAAAGACAAAAAACAAAACAAAACAAAAAGACAGCATTCTTTAAAGGGACACTTTCAGAATGTATTATATGTAATATAATAGTCTTCCTATCACTTCAACCTAAATACTGAAGAAATAATTCATTTTTATAGCATTATTTGCATCTTTTATAGTATGAATTTATTTATATTTTTATGGTAGTGCTGGGGAATAGAACCCAAGGGCTCTCACACTGTTAGGTGAATCTGTCGCTGAGCTACATCCCCAGGCCTTGCAAATTTACTGTTTGCCTTGTTGATAACAAGAATAGTTTTTTGATTCACAGGTGTGTGCAGCAGCAACTTTATATCTTTTCTGCATATAAGATACTGTGAAAAGTAGCTTTTATTTCATAAAAGTGTTCTTGTCTGTATTCAGATCATTGTGTGTCCATGTTTCTGAAAGCTTCCGTGTTACTAAGATGTAGCCTGGGGCTATTTAGTATTGTATCAAATGTCCCTTGTTACATATTTATCAAAATGGGTTTATATAAACACGCATTTGATGTGAGAGCCTTCTTTCAGACTTTTCTAAGGGAAGACGTTCACTGACAGCTCACGGGCTGCTTAGTTTTTCCAGGGAAGCGTGCTTTATATCTGTTACACCTTCCTGCTGTTTAACACTTACGGCTTGTTGGCTTGTTTCTACATATCTCTTAAGGTATAGTTCTTGAGCGATTTCTTGAAAAATACGCCGAGCGCTTTTCTTCTATAAATACAAATGAGAAAAAGATCAGTACGTTGTAGGAGCGTAAGTGATGGCTGCTGCACATCATCAGAACTTTTTCTCTTTTTACTGCTGCCAGTCTAAGCAACTACCACCCCGGCACATCTACACCTGCAGTTGCGCTTCTGTATTTGGAGCACGTCAAGTGGGATGCGTGGCGGTGAGCGGCCACGTTGAAACCAGTGGTGCTGGAGATGATCAGCGAGGCTCCGAGGAGGAGGAGACATTAGTACAGCGTCTGTGGTTCATGGTTACCACGATATTCTTGTTTCTTAAAATACTAGTTTCAAATAGTTACAACCAGCCACAATTTAAAAAATATTTTGCAAATGTTGGTCTGTACCTTTTGTGAATCTTCTTTTGTTTCGTTGTTCTTTCGAGTGTTAGATTTTGACTGCCAGGAAGAAAAGGGAAGTATAACCATTCTGTGCACGTACAGCAACTGTGATACCTCACTCGCTAGTAAGGGTAAACTAACCTGAAACTTGGGTGAGACACAATGTTAGTAATTTTCATACCGTTTCCAAGGTGCTTTTATTTCACTAGTAGCTAATTTAACAATGCAAACTAGTGTTTGTTGTAGGATTTATAATTCTACCGTACCTACCCCCTCTTACAGCACTTGCATAGTCAAAAGATACCCTTTTTTCAGTAACTGTAGGACTTTCTGAATATTTTAAGGCGGCTTCTAATCTCTTTATCGACCTAGTTTTGGTTATACGGATTATTCTTAGGGCTGTCACGGAGAACAGTAACACCGGCTCGCCGCCACCCTCCCACTGCTCACTGCGGAAGGCTGGCACAGAAGAGGGCGTCTTAATCCCACGTGCCTGGGTTTAGCAAGAAGGCACTGCAAGCCGTGCACTCGGGTTAATAATCGCAGTGGTAGGGACTCGTGCCCCGCCCCTCCCCCACAGGCGGTGAGCCCTGCAGAGGCAGGGGCAGAGGCAGAGGCAGGGGAAGACGTTGCTTAGGCAGGCTGTTTCTGAGGCTCACAGTGTGTGGAGAGGTAGAAATTACTTTCCCCTTGGTAACAGTCAAGGCTACACGTTCAGCGCAAAAGGGTTTCACTCACTTTGGCGAGAACTCCGAAGACCACACATATGCTGATAATGTAGATTGAGAGCAGCACTAAGAGTGCTGTGAAGACACCCTGCAGCTCCTTGCTGAGCAGCTTACTTTCTGCATTGGAAAGAGAAGAAGCAGTCACTCTTGGAGCGTGTTCTTGTAAGTGCATAGTACCGTTAAAGCAGCACGGTAGAGGACAGTGTGAATGCAACTGCCTCTTCATGTAAATGCTTACTGAGGGTCAGAAAACGTTCAGGTATATGATAGATAAAACCAGTTCATCTGTTCTTTAAAATGTGTTATGACCAAAATATTACTCATTAAAAATTAAAAATTCAGCTAACCATCTGTCAGAACATTAAGAGTCACTTTTTATATAAAGCATGACTTCAAGTTAAATATTTCAAGCCATTGTGTTCAAGGACACTTACAAATTTATTTCTGTTAGAAATGGTGGTCTTATATGGTTACGACATTTTCACATATATTGGTTAATGCTGTCATTTGTAACTTTGGAACTGTTACAGCTGCAGAGTGCCGTGTATAAAAAACCTGATGAGGCCATCTGCTGAGGGATAGTGCTTATTGCTTGCTTAAAAGGCATGTTACTGTGACATGTGCTCTTCCTAATAAAGTTCTGCAGATAGAACTATTGAATGTATTTTCACGTTCTGAATTTCTTTCTCCTGACAGGAAGTGTTGTGCTTTATCTAAGAATGTTGTATGTTAAGTAGAATGTTGTATCGTCCAGCTTCAACTACCTGATTACAATTAGATTTAAAGTACAAAATACAAGTAGATTTAAAATTACCTGTTAACTTACATATTCCAACCAAATATTTTATAGGTGCTTATCCCATGAGCTCAGTTTATACAACCTATATTTTTATTCGTGAAACTAGCAAATTAAAACTATGCAATTTTTTTTAAAAAGGCAGTTGCCATGTTCATTGTAGGAAATCTCTCACTTCTGTTGATAAAGAAGAATCTTTGTAACCTTCATCTCCCCAGAAGTTATTCCCCTTTAACTAACACTGTTAAAAAGAGAAGTGTGATGCAGTGAAACAAGAGCTTCTAAAGCTGCTGTTCGTTGTAATATTAGGAGCTAATACACATTTATTACCCGCCGTGTGGGAGGTGTATGTATTAACTCATTTCTGCTTTACCTTACACGTGAGAATACACTAAGCTTAAATGACATTTGATTATCAAAAGCCGGTTAGAACTACAGCTGTAAGGGATCAGAATATGAAACAGTCTCAGATTCTCAGAAGTCTTATTTTAAAACTGAAAGGCTGATTTTGATATCATGTTCAAATGATTTCAGGCTTATTGTACCAGATTTCTTTTTCAGAGGTTTAAAAAAACAAAACAAAACAAACACACACAAAAAGACAAGGAGCTACTACCCTTTTCTTCCTTCAGAATCATATAAATCATCCTCTGAAGTTTCTTGTTTGTTTTTTGCTGTGTGTTCCAGGCTGGCCTCAAGCTCACAGTGAAATTCTGGTGTACCACCACATGTGGCTTGTCCTTCTCCTCCCCTTCCACTTTCCTCCCTCTCCACTTCCTGCTTCTCCTTCTCCTTCTCTTCCTCCTCTCCCTCCTCCTCCTCTATAAAAATTTTTTTTTTATTTTAAGATGTGTAGTTTTGCTGTGTCAATAGGGCTGCCTTGAATTCCTGGCCTCAAGTGAACCTTCTGCCTCAGCTTCCCAAATAGCTGGGACTACTTACATTCTTTATGTCAGACTTCTCAAGGGAATGACTTGGTGAAATTACTGATAGGATTTAGGTAGGTTTGATGTCCTCACTTGAGTGAGGGGCTGTGAGATTTTAGCAAATCCCAGGAAACCAGGACTGTCATTTTCTGTTCTCTGGGGTCCAGGCAGAGTGAGAAGGGTCGGGGTCTACCAGTGGCTTCTCTCCAAATTTTGTTTATTTTTCATAATATGTAGTTTTTCTGTGTCTGGTGTGTTGGTCATTTCTGCTTTTCTGCTGTGCTGTTCTAGATGGTACACTTCCCAGTCAGTTCCTGAGAAGACTGACAGTTAATCCGTGTTACCTGGCTGCTATGGGACACCCAGAGGAAGAACAGCACTGCAAGGGTCGGTCTGGACACCGGGCCGTGGGTTGGAGCAGTCCTTGAGTCCAACCTCGTGGCGCTTGTGTTCAGATCACACCTCGCATTGGCTAGGATATTAAATTAGCGTTTGTTTCCTGCTTTCTGAATGTGATGGGAGATGTTAAAAGTCTGCACCGTGCGATGCCGCCCTCCATAAGGACTCCACAGACTGACCTCTGACCACCAGTGTGGTCCCGCTTCCGGTTTGCTTCGCTCTCGGTGCCCCTGTGTTAGGAAACGCTATTCCACAGATGTAAATTGCACTGTCGTTTGAAGTCACCCTGTTGACAGTGAGAGAAGCCAGGTTCTGGCCCAAGGCTGTCCTCACGGTGAATTTGTCTGCTTCACTTTCGCATGAGCCCAGGCAGAGCTGCTCAGCCTGGCGAGCGCCGCATCGAAACCACAGGCTCAGGGGTGGCTCTGAAGGGCATCCGCTCGCGGAGAAGGTGCATTCTATGGTGACGGTCTGCTGGGTGTAATCCACCTCCAGGTAGCCTGGCTGCGTGACGGCGACGCTGCAGGCACCCGCAGCACCTGCGGAGGAAGCAGACCAGTGTTCAGCATCTCCTTCCTCACGTTGTCTCTGCCTCCTCCTCCTTCAACCTGCTCTCAGTATAATAGTGCTGTAGAAGAGGCACTGGCGCTCCTCCCCTGTCCTAACTCCGGCGGTCTCTGACTTGCCCCTGCTGTGCCGACTGGTAACTTGGGAGAGGTTCTGGCAGGAGCGTGTGCTGAGCTGAGGTAGACCAGAGCTTGAGGGGATGTTGGGGGACCTGCTGTGCTCTTCCTACTTACAGCTGCCCTTTGATTGTGGGCACAGCAGACTCCTGGGGAGTCTGTTTCCCAGTCTGGACCCCTCGCCCGCGGGAGCATTGTGTTCGGCAGGGGAAAGTGTGTCAGGCTCTTCGTACGAACGAGATCGCTGCCGATGGTGCCTGAGCAGGAGCGGTGTGTGTATTTTCTGAGGAGGGGTTAGGATTGCTAATTCATGGCACTTGCAGTGGTGCCTTTGTGAGCCCAGTGGCCCGAGGAGACGTGGTGGAAGGCAGGGTGCACACCTGTGGCCGCGCAGCCCCGGCACGCTTTGCTTTTGTTCAGCTGCTGAGCAAAGGCCAGGCGAACGGGGTGCACCGCAGCGAGCGGATTTGGTTTCTGCCGGCCTGTGCACATTGCTCTGTAGTCCTTCGTAAGTCTCACCTGACTCGCCCAGCAGTGTTCTCATAAAGAGAGGAGCACACACTTGCGAGTGAGTCGCAGCTCTGCCGGTTCTAGCTGCATCTCTGTGTCGCTGTGCTCGTCGCAGTGGGGCTGGTCTTACCGACCTTGTGTGGTTCGTATGCGGTGCGAGTGCAGCGCCCACCCGTGAGCACGCACTTGCCTGAGCCGTAGTGAGAATTGAATAAGAGGTAGTTATTTCTGCTCTCCCTCTGCCGCTACACCGTCACAGCCCCTTTCAGAGGCCACTGAGACGCTTGCCCACGGGGTGTGCGCGGAGCTGGACGCAGACACGCTCCCCTGCAGGGCGCCCCTCCCCACGCGGCCCCACCTTCCTGCTCTGCAGTCCGGGCCTGCGAGGCTGCACAGCCCCCCAGATGCCCGCGGAGGGAAGGGCCTGCCCAGCCCTTCTGGGAGCGAGGGAGGCCGCGTGTGAGCGGCGCTGGGGGAGCCCCTGCGAATTCACGCGCGTCCCGGCCTGACTTCTGCCCGGCTGTGTTTCGTGTGGCCTTGTTTGTCTCAGTGCACCCTTGCTGTGTAAGTGAAAGTGACAGTGCTCCAGGCAGCCTGCTGCTGCGTTTCGGACGGGTCCCTTCGCACTGCGTGTCTTGCCTAGGGTCTCCAGCCGGGGCAGAAGAGGCTTTAAGGTTAGAGCTGTGGCATTTGTGACACCGTGTGCTTTCCATGCTGCAGTTTCAGAGTCGGCACGGCCTGAGGTGAGGGGGGGTTTTGTGGCTTCGGATGCTTTGGCCGCCAGAGGCCGGCGGAGCTGACTCTTCCGCTGAGGGCCCGGGGTTAAGCCCCAGGCCTGGTACATACCAGCTCTGCCTCCGCCTCCCGCCTTAGGGGTCCAAGGAGCCCTGTACTCTTACAGGGATGCTCAGACAGCGGAGATCTGAAGTGGGGTTGGCTGTCAGAATGCACCAGAGTACTGCCTCGACCTCAGATGGTTTTCAGATGAAAGTTTTTAAAAAGGAAACTGACTTTCAACACCTTCCTTTAAAAACTAGTGGCACAGCGGCTGGGGATTTAGCTCAGCGGCACAGTGCCTGCCTGGCAAGCGTGAGGTCGTGAGTTCGATTCCTGGTACCAGGGGGGAAAAAATGGAAAAAAACAAAACAACAACCAAAAAAACTAGTGGCACAAGGAAGAAACATTTGCAGGTTTGCCGTTTCCTGCCTGTACTTGGTCTGAGGGGGAGAAAGCCCCGGGTAGTGGTTTCCTTCCGAGCACGGGCTTGTGAGGAAGCCGCGCGCCCTCCCCCAGCAATTGAGCAACGTTAGCAAAACGAGAAGTTTGGGTACTGTCACGGCGCGGTTGGCTCCTGCGAACGCTTTCTGCTCGTTTACTTTTTCTTCTTCAGTGCTGGTGCTTGAACCAGGGGCTTTGTACTGAGCTGCCTCTCCAGCCCTGTAAAATTTTTGTTGTTTGTTTTGAGGCAGGGTCTTAGCAAGTTGCTAAAATGCCCGGGTGAGGGTGGAACTTGTGATTGTCTTGCCTCAGCCTCCCAGAGCGGTGGGATTATACGCCTGTGCCACCATGCCTGGCAAAAAATTTATTCTTGAGGTTTTTTTGTTTTAGATAATTTACTTTCAGATACTTCCTGCTATTCCAGAATAGCTGTCATCTCTTTCTTCTCCCTTCTCTACCTTCAAATAAATCTTTTTTTTTTTTTTTAACTTAAAAAAAAGTGTTTATGTTCTATAGGATTGTTTTTTAATCAGAGAATCCACCAACAATGTTGAAAGTTTATCTTGGTAGAGAGCGTTAAAGTCATTTTGCAGTTTTTAAAAAAACAAGTTAGAAAATTAGTAGAGAACAAATTTTTTATACTTACAGAAAGCTTATAATAGGAAATTTCAAGCATGTGCAGATGCAGCCTGGCACACTGGACCCACGCCTGGCGTAGCCCTGTCTGGGCTCTGGGCTCAGCCGTCCCTCAGCTCTGCTCTCTCTGCGGGCAGCGGGCTCAGGCCCAGGTGTGCCGTCTGCCGCCCGCACATCTGCCCAGACACGTCTCTAAAGGTGAGGGCTCTTCCCCAGATAACACTAACCAGAGGGGCTGTTACAGTACATGTGTTAGAACAATAGAATATTGCTGAAAGTAGAAGCGAGAAGTCGTCACGGTCCTTTGGTCTAAAATCACCACCACCAGTTTGGTCTGTTGCCTTACAGACAAGAAAATTAATTTTAAGAAATTTTAACCCCTTCCTTACCTATAATCCAAATTTTGTGGACAAATCTGAGGTGATTACAAGTATACTGCAAGAAACAGTTTGACAGAAAAAAACAGGTGTAGTCAGGAGGTGTGGCAGTCTTTCAGATGAAAGTACAGTACTTTCATTTTACAAAAAGTCATACTTTTAGAAACATTTTTGGAATTATTCATCCGATACTGTAGGCCACACGCTGTGCAGCGTGCCTTTCCCTGGGTGAGAGTTACGTTGTCAGTGACGCGCTCATACGGCTAAGAGTGTTCTCCACTCTCTTTCTGATGGATTGTTCTCTAAAGCCGCTGAAATAGCAAAGGGGGTTTTCGAGGTTAACATGAAACTTCGCCTCTGCTCTTCTTTCTCATCTGTTCCCCTGCGGGGGAAAGAAACTTACCACTTTAGACAGTTTCTATAATGTTACACGTTTAAAAGTTATTCAGGAGGAGTTTAAAGTGTAAGTGCTATAGGCAGAAAAGCAGCAGTTAAATAAACCCCGGAAGAAAAGAAGCAGCCTCACCTATGTAAAAGAGAATCAGGTGGACCTGCAGACCAGGCGCCAGCTTGCTTCTGCCCGCCATCCCCAGCTCTCTGTGCGTGTTTCGAGGGTGTGTTTGAAAAGAGAGCTGGCTTTTTAAAATGTCCTTCCTTTTTTAAGAAAGGAAAACCAAAGAGAGGAACTCTTATAAGGAACCATAATTGGGAACTTTCTGAAATTGTGTAAGGATGGTTTGTAACACAGTTTTGTTTTCTGGGTTTTTTTTGGTGGTGGGGGCGGGGGGGGGGGGAGAGCTGGGAATTGACCTCAGGACCTGGAGCTTGCCAGGCAAATGCCCTGCCGTGAGCTGTATATCCAGCTGAACAGTTGAGATTTCAGCCTGGGGCACATTTCTATTTTTTTTTTTTTTTAACTTTTTGAGGCAGGGTCTTGCTATGCAGTGCAAGCTGGCCTTGAGCTCACTCTGTAGCTCAGGCTGGTCTCGAACTCACTACAATCCTCCTGCCTCAGCTTCCCAGGTGCTGGGATTACAGGCGTGCACGACCGTGCACGGGGCACATTTCTGAATCGGCATATGTATTGTTTTCGTGGATGTAGGTGCTACATGCTTTGAGTGAGATTTTGTTGTACACATGCACATATACCCTGGAGGAAGTGCTGTTCGACAGGGAGTGCGTACATTTCCAGAGCAGTAGAGTGGCCAGTCCGTCACCTACTGTGACCCTCCCTCTGAGCCCGTGACTGGTGGTCATGTGGAGGCAGCGGAAGGGAGCGTCTTCCTGTGCGACTGTGAGAAGACTTGGTGAACAGCACACGCTAATGCATAGACCATCGTTAACTAGTTGTGCCCCAGTTTTGAATTCATGGCTCCCATGCTTTTAAAATAAAATTTTTACTTTTCTTAGCACATGTTTGCAGTATGTAATTATATTTGTTTGTTTATTGAGACACGATCTCCCTAAGTTGTCCAGACTAAACTGGAACTTGTGATCCTCTTGCCTCCGCCTCCTGAGATGGGCTGACAGGCGTGGAGCAGCACACTGGCTCGAAGGCGTGCCTGTGTAAGGTGCTGTGTGGCTGTGGACCCCCGCCCCCCAGGGCCCCCGCGGTCATGTTCCTTGTAAGCAGCAGGACCTGGCTCAGGCGGATTCAGGCAGAGAGAGGTTTCTGGGCAGGTCTCAGGGGCGGCTTCCTGCGTTCCTGCAGCCTGGAGAACCGCGTGTGGAGGCCCAGGCAGGAAGAACGCGTCACGCGGGAAACCGGCAGGGCCTGCTGCCACCAAGCACGAGGTGCCGCGCCCGCCACTTGCTCTCACGGCCGCTGCTCTGGCCCAGGGAACGAGCACAGGCCGTGCCTCTGAGGTCAGCAGTGCTTCCGTCCAGGCCTCGCGGCTGTGTGCCGCGCTGCGCTGCGCTGCGCTGCGAGGCGGGGGACGGGGGGCGCGGCCCAGGCTCTACCCAGACTGCCCCTGGGCAGGAGTCCCCAGACAGAGAGCGGGTGCCGGACGGGGTCCCTGAAAGCGGCGAGCACGTTTCTCACTGTAGCTTCGCACACTCAGCACTGCTGGTCGTTTATTCTCTCCTTCACAGAAAGCTGCTCTGCGTCTGAAGTTAGGGGCAAGTTAAGGGTACAGGATGTGTACTTCTTCCGTTACTAATGGCTCTGGAAGCTCCCCTGAATTTCAGTGTGTGGTAGTCCTTGTGTATGTGTCTGTAGTCAGTGCTTGGCTCGTATGTGACTTGAAAACCTTGCCTCCCCAATGTCTGATATTCACAGGTTTGAGAGAGACTTCCGTCATTATTTCAAGAAATGCCGTGAGCCGGGTGTGGTGGCGCACACCTGTCATCTCGGCACTCAGGAGGCTGAGGCAGGAGGATTGAGTTCAAGACCATCCTGAACTACACAGTAAGAGCCTGTCTCCAACCAGCCAAGAAATGCTGTGATTCCTTCATTTGAGTGTTGTACCTGTTTCTGGCTTTAGAGCTTAATTTTTATGGCATTGTTCTGAAAAGTTAGCTAATAGGTCACCCTCCTTTGAAAAGCATACCAGTGATCTATTTTTTAGAAACTAAAGTTCAGGCAGGTATAATGGCACATGCCTATAATCCCAGCACTCTGGAGGCTGAAGTAGGAGGATTGTTGAGTTTGAGCCCAACCTGGGCAGCTTTGAGAGACCCTGTCTCAAAATAAAAACTAAAAAATAGCTGATACTGTAGCTCAGTGTGACAGCCTGGGTTCGGCCCCAGTGCAGGAGTCAGTTAATAAAAGCAGTCTCTTGTGAGCCTCCTTCTGTCTTCAGCTTGATAAACCTTAGGTAGTAAGCTGTGAGTTCGCTGCATCAGGGTGCTCTCTTGTGTTTTTCAAAACCCCCTTTGAAATAGTATGTGTTACTCTGACTCAGGACTCTGCCTTTGACTAGTTTTCTAAACCCATCAGCTACCGTCGGCCCTGGCAGTCTGGAGGAGGCCCCGGGCCAGGCCTGTGGAGAAGGTGCCGCAGGCTGTGCCTGCAGCCGGCCCTGGCGCCGCTTGTCTGCCTCCCCGCAGTGACCCCGCGCCTTCCGGCGTGTTCTTCAGCCCTGCAGGGTGACGGCAGCCTGGAGGAGACGACGCTTTAGAGCTAGTCATTTGTTCAAGAATTTAACCTACTGTTTTTAATTTGTTTTAGTAGGTGGCAAGTGGGAAAAACCATCAGAAATTTTGGAAATCAAGGGGCAGAACTGGGAAGAGCAGGTGAACAGCCTGCCGGACGTGTTCCGCAAGGCGGGCTTCGCCATCGAGGCCTTCACCAGACTGCCGTACCTGTGCGAAGGGGACATGTACAACGACTACTACGTGCTGGACGATGCCGTCTTCGTGCTCAAGCCGGTGTAAGCGCGGGGAGGCCCGTCGCCAGAGCCCGCCCTCAGCACCGCCCCAGGGGCTGGCTCCCGGCGCGCGGGGGACCCTCGGGACTGCCGTGCTCAGTACCCTTAGGAATTTAAAAAGCCAAAATACTAATGATTTCTTTGTAGTGTGTAAAAGGAATGTTTTTAAAAAACGAAAACGCAGCCCGTGGGTTTTCATCAACTCTTTGCCCCGAGCCGCACTCCAGTGCAGGACACACCTCAGTTACGGCGGAAGATATTTTTATACTTCACTGCAGCAGGAACCCACTCCCAGAGCAATAGTCATGGCTCCATGGAAGCCACTCGGGGGTCGCTTTGAATGAAACGAAGACTGGCAGTAAAGTGACCCCTCGGTTCCGAGCGTCGGTTATAAGGTAGAGCCGCTGGTACTTTCACGTTTAGAACCTTTCTGTTACTATCCAAGAAAACGTTTTTAATCATGCTAATAAACCCTTTTGGAGATGACTTCAGCATCACGTTTGAGTTGCTTGCTGTAAGGCGCCTCAGCACTGTCAGCTTTGGGTTCAGGAGTGCGGGGAGGAGCGGCACGTGGAAGGTGCAGCCGGCTTGGCAGCGGGGGAAGGAGGGCCTCGGACTGCAATTGCAGTGAACGCCAGCCGGGTCTCCTCCAGAACGGCCCCCCATTCGGACACCGCACTTCGGGGAGCGCCCTCCCTCCCCGTCAGGGTTGCTTGGAGAAGTGCCGGCTTACGGCCCGCATGCCCGTTTTTCTGGGTAATTCAGGTTACTTGAACTGAAACATCCTCTTGTATCTGTTAACAGAATGCAGACGAGAAATGTTTTAACGTGTTCCCGACAGGGGCAATGTGCGTGTGTCGCTGTCTGGGGGCTCCGAACCAGTGGTGGTACGTGCGTGACCGCCCCACGGGCGTCCTGGGGCAGTCCCACTGGGTGGCCCTGGGGGCAGGCGTGCGTGTCCTGCCAGCGGTTCAGCTTGGTGGAAGTGTGTTAACTTGGCATCTTCCTCCACAGCTGCCTACCTCGTCCCTGGAATTTGGTTCTTCCCCAAATCCTCAGTTGTGTTTATTATTTGCCAAGAATATTGTTTGCTGAAGACCATGTCACACATGCATTATGTGTGCCGCCTCCAACCGTAAACCCGGAGGTGGAGCAGTAGGGGAACTCCTTAGCAGGGTCGATAATGGAGGATATTCTAAAGAATCTACGGTCTCCGTAGTAACGGAGTTGCCAGTTTGAGATTGGGGATATTAACAGTGTGTTATTCTCGTAGCTTTGCCTCTGTTTTCAGCCAGGCGTTTCAGTAAGTGTTCTCATTTATGTACTCCCAGAAGTCATCAGATCCGCGCGCGCACACACACCGCCCCTGGGTAGAGAGGAGGTCCAGAGCCTTGAGAAGAGTTGCTTTATTCACTAGGGAAGACTTTCCCACCTCCTCACGCCAGTGTCTTCTGTCACTGTGGATACTGTGGAGTCATGACAGAGGCTGGGTCATGGGATTTATGCAGAGTCGTTACTGGTGTGTTCTGATGGTTTCCCCCCCAGGAATTCAAATAAGTGAAGTGCAAATACTTGACAATATAGATTGTAAAAAGAAGTAAACTTAATATTGTTCTTTTTTGCTGCTTTATAAACTTTCATAATCAGGTTTTTTTTTTAACATTTTCAAACAAGGGTTAGATGTTCAGAGGCAGGTTGCCCCAAAGTGCCTCACAAAATTTTAAATTAGTTATACTGTTAATTTATTAAAAACAACATACCTTACTCTTTAACCACCCCAAACGCAGAGAAAGCACATACATTTATGCATTTTATTTTACTTTTTTGAGGCAGACAATACATGCTAGACTAACATAAAGTAGCAAAACATGAATGCCTGTATAGCTACAGTAAATGAGGTTATTTTTTAGTCACTGTTTATGTTTATGGGAATCAGGAAAGCTCAAGGCTGGCCTTGAGCTCACTTTGTAGCCCAGGCTGGCCTTAAACTTCCAACGATCCTCCTGCCTCAGCCTCTCGAGTGCTGGGGTTACAGGTGTGCACCACCACGCCCGGCTCATTTATGCATTTTTAAGGACAAAAATAGTTTCTTAAAACTTGAGGTTCTCTGAAGACCGCTTACTAAAAGTGCTGCTTTGTGGTTAGAATTGAAATCAGCAAAGCCCACTGTTCTTGGAAGTCCTGCTGTTGCGTCACCGCCCCACTAGATGGCGGTGTTGCTCCTGTCAGTGCGACAAAACCGCCTGTTCTGTGCGCCCTTCCGTGTAGGTGCCCGTATCAAGTGAAGGCTGAACCGGGGAAGTCAAGAACTCCGGCTGTGGAGAGCCAGCCGAGCGACTGACCTCGAAGGTCGGCGGAGAAGGAGAACGCGAGCCGCACCTGCGCTGCCCGGCCGTCAACGGGAACCGAGCTGGGCGGGGAGGCGAGTGAATGAGCCGTTCTCCGAACAAGGGAGAGCTTTGTCCCCTAGCCCGAGCGTGCTCTTGGCAGCTGTGCGGTGCGGGGAGGTGTTTGCGCCGGCTGCTTTCAGGAGTCCGTGCTGATGAGTGCTTGCCGAGGATGCTACGGGGTTTGATCCCCGCGCTTTGGAGGGCTGGACGGGGTGGGGCTCGTGCGGGCCTCGGGTGGCTGCAGGGGCCTGTCGTGTTGGGGCAGACCCCGAGGGACCCAAGTACCTCTCCACGTACCCATAGCGCAGCTGGGGGGCAGCGCCGCATCCGGCTGGCTGCGGACTCAGCAAAGCGCAGTCAGGCTCGCAGTCAAATCGAAACACCCTGGGTACTCCGGACTTAGGCGCCCGCGCCGAAGGTAGGAAACGGCGGGGGAGCTCACATCACAGCCCCGCTGAGACATTTGCAGTGTAAAGAAGAGATACACCCAGAAATGAGAGAGCTGACCGTGCAATGTAACTTGTAACAGTCTGCCTCTTTGCAGCTAGAGGATGGTGACTTAGATAGTAGGTGAGAAACACAGACGTGACCAAAAAATACCGTCACTTACTGTGCCACGCAGGCGGTCATGTTTTGCTACTTGATGTTCGTCTAGCATGTACTGTCTGTCTGCTCTGGAGGGACTGATTCTAACTTCAGGTGTCATTGTAACTATTTTAAAGTAAATTTTGGAATAATTTTACATTTATGGAAATTAGCTTCTGTTTCCTCTTTAATTAGGGTTCTCCAGTGTACCATTTTATATAACCGTGCTGTGTTTCTCAAAACTAAAAATTAACGGTGCATTACTATTAAACTCCAAACTGCTATGACATATTAACAGTTTTTCCACTTATGGCATGTTTTAGAATCCAACTCAGGATACCACACTCAATTTTGTTCTACTTTTTTTTTGGGGGGGGTGGTTTTTTCCGGTACCAGGAACCGAACTCAGGACGACCTTGCGCTTGCCAGGCGGGTGCTGTGCCGCTGAGCTAAACCCCCAGCCCTCGTTCTACTTTTTAGATGATTCACATTCATTGAGAGAGTGTGCCGTCATCTCCCCCACCCCCGGTTTTTACAGCTGGAAGTCGATAGAGGTGCTCCATGTGATAAAACACACGTCACATAAAACGAAGCGTCCCGACCACTCCCATTGCTGTTAAATGCCTTCGCGTTGTGCAGCCGTTGCCAGCATCCACTCTTCCACTCTCAAAACCGAAACTACACGTCAACTGCGCTCTTCCCACGCCCAGGTCCTGGCGACCACGGTTCCGCTTCCCAGGACGGACTTGGAGGAACCTTGAATAAGTGGGCTCGGGCAGCACCGGGCTTCTTGCAGCTGCCTGATTTTACTGAGCGTCATGTCCTCAGGGTCCATCCATGTGAGCATTTCCTTCCCTGTGGAGGCTGAGTAAAATACATTGTGCAGACACACTCCACGTCTCCCTCATGCATTTGTCTGATAGTGTTCGAACTGCTTCCACGTTGCAGCTGTTGGAATAATGTAACACAGCTGTACAAGTGTTTCTTCAAGACCCTGCTTTCACTTCTTGTGGGTTGATAGCAAAGTGGGACCGCTAGATCATGTGGTAGTTCTAGTTTTTTGAGGAACTGCCATGTTGGTTTTTTTTTTTTTTTTGAGACAGGGTCTCACTGTGCAGTTCAAATTGGCCTTGGGCTCACTTTGTAGCCCAGGCTGGCCTTGAACTCACAACGACCCTCCTGCCTCAGCTTCCCGCGTGCTGGGATTACAGGCCTGGGCCACCGTGCCCGGCTTGCCATGCAGTTTTACACACTGCCTGCGCCATCCTTCGTCCCCGCCAGCAGTGCCCAGGAGTTCCTATTTCTCCACGTCCTCGCCAGCACTTGTTTACTGTTTTTAAAACGTAGCCTAGTGGGTGGGGAGTCACCTCGTGGTTTGGGGTCACATCTCCCCCAGCACAGGCCACCGCTTGTTTCCCTAGTGCAGCTCGCACAGTACTTGGCTGCGTTTACTAGGAAACTGCTCTCTGTAGCTCGCTGTCTTGTTATCACTAACGCGGAATCAGTACTCACTCGTGACAAATTACTTCCCTTTCTCTATGAAATTTTATACTCTGGAGAGTTGGGAGACTGTTATTACATAACTAGAATTTAAGATTCCCTGGGGATTTTAGAGTCAGTGTGCTGCATTCACATGGATTAAATAATATGTTTTCATTACAAAGTCATTTAAAAGTACTTTCAATACATGTAAAATGAAAAGTAAAGCTCTTTCTCCAAATAGAGGAACATATAAAATTGGAGCATCTTATATATTTGTACTTCTTAAGCCTAGGAAAATAATTAAGAATGGATACCTTTCTTTTTTAAATTCAGGACTGGGTCTCGCCATGTTGCCTAGGCTGGCCTCAAACCTGTGATCTTCCTGCCTCAGCCTCCTGAGTAGCTGGGGCTATAGACATGTGCCACTAAGGCTGACTTCAAATCCTGTTTCCTTATATCCTGTTCAGGATTCAGCACAGAGCACTGGTTTGTTTATTGAGACAGGGTGTTCCTGTGTTGCCTGGGCTGGTCTCAGACTCCTGACTTCACGTGATCCTCCCACTGTAGCTTTCCCAGCATCTGTGACTTCGCGTGTGCACCGCTCGTCTGACCGGGACGTGGGGTTTCAGTGTCTTCAGACTCTTGATAGCTCTTCAGATGGCAGAGTTACAGTGGCCAGGGCTGCGGTGGCCACCCTCTCTGTGCTCAGCAGTGTGAAACAGGTTTCCCAGTACTTGATGTCTGCTCCTTTGTGTTATTCATAAGGTAAACGTGACTGATCATAACGCCTTGCTGGTTTTTGCACTGCAAAACATGCTCACTGTAGAACAAGTCGAAAACACAGACAGCCAAAGGAAGCAAACGAAAGCAGACTTCCCCATCCCACGAGTCCGTACAACTGCTGATGCTTTGGCGCGTGCCCCTCCAGGCTCTCCACGCACGTGCGTCTACACGCACATTGTGAAATTTTAAGCATGAAGATAGATATAAAGGAAAGATAACTTTGTTTTTCCGAGATGAATCACTTTG